TATTATTATTTATTATTATTTTTATTATTTATTATTTTTGTCATTAATTATTGATCTTGAATGAGTTCATGTGATCATGTTAACATAGTTAATTGATGTATATTTTTGGATTTATAATAATAATACTATTAATAGTGATAATGATAATATTATTAATATTAATAAATAAATATTATAATAAATAATATAATAATGAATTATAGACGATAAAAGAGCCCTATTAAGATGTCTGGATATGATAGCGAACGAATCAGACCTATCGCACGCTGCAAAATGCGCCGTGGAAGCTCGATATCGATACATTAATAATAATAATAAATACAATAATATGTATATTAATAATGTTAATAATTATATATATCATAATGGCGATGACAATTCTATGAAATCAACGTCGTTTGTTCAGTACGATTCAATGGATGATGACTATATTATTAATAATGATAATATTAATAATAATATTAGTAATAGTAATAATAATCATAATAATAATACTATTAATAATAATAATAATGTTAATAATAATAATTGGCTATCGGAAGTTCGAAAGCGAAGAATATTGGCGTATAAAAATGATAATAAAAAATATTTATCGAATAATAATAATAAATATAATATTAAATATAATAATAAATATAATAAAACAAAATTAAAAATAAATGGACTGTATAAAAGAAGAATCAAACGAAGTCCACATCGTTTAGTGACGAATTTGGTGATGAATAATGAGGATTCCGTTTTAAAGGTTATTATTTTTATTATTATTTATTGTTTTGTTATTGTTATTATTATTTATTATTGTGTTTATTATTTATTATTATTTATTGTAATTAATTATTATTAATTGTATTTATTATGTTGTAATATTCAATATGAATTTTGGGTAGGTAAAACGTCTCAGGAGATTGAATGGTCTTATTGANGTTTAGTGACGAATTTGGTGATGAATAATGAGGATTCCATTTTAAAGGTTATTATTTTTATTATTATTTATTGTTTTGTTATTATTTATTATTGTGTTTATTATTTATTATTGTGTAATATTATTTATTATTATTATTTATTGTAATTAATTATTATTATTAATTGTATTTATTATGTTGTAATATTCAATATGAATTTTGGGTAGGTAAAACGTCTCAGGAGATTGAATGGTCTTATTGATGCGCAGATATCGAATTCTCCGATACAACGTGTGAGTTTTATTATTATTATTGTTATTGTGTTTATTATTATTGTTTTTATTATGTATATTATTATTGTTTAATATAATTAATGAGCTACATTTCCTTTGATGTGACCGCCACGGGCTAGCCACTAAACCACGCCCCTTCGGCGATCGCCACGCTGGCGGTGTCGCGCGCGCACGCCAGACTGCGATAATACGCTCCAACTGAATATAATAAATAATTATATATAATATTAATGTATAATAATAATAAATAATAAAAATAGATAACGAAATTGGTTCGAACGATGATGAGTGACGGGGAAGAGCCGAGTAACAACTGGACGTTGATATATAGAAGGTTGTTGGAGTTGAGGAGGGGGTTGGATAGGAGGAGGGGGATGCCGGGGGCGAGGGTGTATCGATACCGGATGTTTGATCTGGTCACCGATAGGAAGACTCCGAGTTTTGGCAGGGGTGATAACGTGCGTTGTATTATTATTATTATTTATTATTATTATTATTGTTATTATTATTATTGTTATTATTATTTGATCAAATTTATTCTATTTTATAATACTTTTAATATAGTCATCATTATCTATATTCATTTATTATTATTGTTATTAATGCGCATTCAGCAATTGATAATAATTGTTGTGTATTTGCTTATTTATTTATTCATGCAATAGTAAAAATAATAGCAATAATTAATAATAATATATAATAATAATAAAATTCAGACATCACTATCGAATTTCTTTTCGATGGCATTTGATCTGATCGATTCGATCAATTTAAACGTCACCAAAACCGATAACGACGACAAAAATTTCAAAATATTATCACCGCGAATCGCTCCGATTTTGCCTGAAAGGGTGCGTTGTTTTATTATTTATTTATGTTATTTATTATTATTTATTATCATTTATTTTTATTGTTATTTATTATTATTATTATTTATTGATGTATATTATTATTATTATAGACCAAGAAAAGACATCATCTGTTATCACCGTCCATATTGCCGTTGTATAGTGATGACAGTGCAGATAGTATAGCACCATTGCCTGAGGTTTGTTTATTTATTTATTATTTATTATTGTTTATTTATTATTTATTATTGTTTATTTATTATTTATAATTGTTTATTTATTATTATTCGTAGAAATGAATTCGGATGCCAAAATTTTTTGGCGAATCGGGAACGCGTTGTTAGTCAATTCGTTGTCGTTTAATAACTTTTATTATTACTTTTATTATTATTGTTATTATATTGTTATTAATATTATTGTTATTATATTATTATATTATTATTGTTATTATTATTAATATTATTGTTATTATATTATTATTGTTATTATTAATATAATTGTTATAATAAATATAATATAATAAAAATAAATTGAAGGTGCTAAAAGCGACGGGGATATCGGAAAAGGACCGCGATGCGATACTAGAGATGGTGATGGATATATCGGGGGCGAAGAGGTCTGTGGAGGGGGTGATGGAGATATTGAAGGGGATGAATTTTGTGGGGTTTGAGAGCGAGGTGTTGGAGGTGGTTTTTTTTATTATTTATTATTGTTATTTATTATTATTATTGTTATTNGTCTGTGGAGGGGGTGATGGAGATATTGAAGGGGATGAATTTTGTGGGGTTTGAGAGTGAGGTGTTAGAGGTGGTTATTTTTATTATTTATTATTGTTATTTATTATTATTGTTATTATTTATTATTATTTATTATTATTATTATTATTTAAAGGCAACTGAACGTCTAACGAAATTATTCAAGAATCTGGAGAAATCGTTTAATAAATGGCAACGAAAAGATATGAAACAACGTGGATTTACATTCTTNTTATTATTGTTATTTATTATTATTATTGTTATTATTTATTATTATTATTATTTAAAGGCAACTGAACGTCTGACGAAATTATTCAAGAATCTGGAGAAATCGTTTAATAAATGGCAACGAAAAGATATGAAACAACGTGGATTCACATTTTTAGAGAGAAATCAATTGCAGAAATTATTCAGAGAACACGGTGAGGTTCATTATTTTTATTATTTTTTATTATTTATTATTCATTATTATTGTTTATTATTATTTATTATTGTTATTTATTATTATTTTTATTATTTATATTGTTATTGTGATATTTGTTTATGAGATGTTTAACAGTAATAATAGTAATAGATAATAATAATAATGTATATTAATAAATAATATATAATAAAGATAAATAATAATAATAATAATAATAATAATTAAAGGAATAAAAAATGGTAGAGATGTTAATTTCGACTTGGATTCATATTCAAAATTGAGCAAAAGCGATCGTGAAGAGTCGTTGTGGCAAACAATCGAACGTATTGCATACAACCGGAGTGTGGTGGTATTTTTTTATTATTTATTATTATTTATTATTATTATTTATTATTATTATTGTTATTATTTATTGTTATTATTGTATTTGTTTTCATTATTATTATTGTTGTTGTTGTTATTGTCATGATCGCTGCTATTATTTCTGTTGTTTTGGAACTATTTATGACCTGAAATTAATTTCAGGATAGCACCAGTAATACGATCGTGGCGAACGATAATAATAATAATAATAGTATAAGTAATGGCAATAATGTTGTTATATGCAATGGTTATGATGTTAATGGTAATGGGTCGAATTGCCAAAATCGTGTGCGGACGAAACGCCAAACGGAGATATCAGTTCTGCAGCCGACCGTGTTGTCGCCGTTCATGTTCACGCCGGTGACTGGCCTGACGGTGTTGGGGCCGACCGTGCTCTCGCCGTCGATCTTCTCGGTGCTGCTGGTCAATCCGTCCGTAGTCAGTCCATATGTGATGTCACCCGCGTTCATTCTGCCCTTTATTTTGTCCCCCTACCTTCTGTCACCCTACGTGCTGTCACCCATTTTCGCCGCGCCATTTGTCTTGTCCCCCTACTTTTTGTCACCGAATGTCCTCAACCCCTACATATTCTCGCCGCTAATTTTGTCCCCAATGGTGTTGGCGCCCGATGTGATATCGCCGCAAGCGTTCGGCGGTGCCATTCTGTCGCCGTCGGTGCTGTCGCCGAGCGTTTTGACCGAAACTGTGCTCATGGCATCGGTGTTGTCGCCATCATTTTTGTCATGATTTTTGTCATAATTTTGTCATGATTTTGACATTCTTCTCCTGATCATCGTGGGGCGGAGATTCTTCTTTACCCAAAATCTTCACAAAGAATTGGAACGGGTGAGGAATAGACGAATTACGCTGGCCCTAGGCCTGGCTCCCGAAAGGCCCCCAAAGGCCCATTGTAACCTCCCTCGTCGAATGTCCGCAGTTAATTAGGGGGCATTTGTTTATACTTTATTGTTATTTATTATGTTTTTATTTATTATTATTTATTATTTTTGTTGTTTATTGTTGTAGATAATATTGCTCAATTAATATTACTATTGTTATTTATTATTATTCATTATTGTCATTATAATTATTATTTAATTAATTATGTGATATTTTTCCGGTGTGATTTTTTCAGTTATTTTAACAAGCATTCGGTTTTAAGTTCACTTTTAATGTTATTTATTATTATATTCATTTGTTTATTTATTTATTATTGTATTTATTTATTTATTATTATTATAATTATTATTATATTTAAAATGAGTATATTTATTATTATAACAAAAATGTTACAAGTAATACTGCATATTTTGTGATGATATTATGTCTATAAGTGTGTGCTATCCGTTGCTGTGATTTTGCTTAATTGAATATATATTCTTAATGAGATCAGTTTCTCGAATGTTCCATTCTGCAGTATTTATTATTATATATATTTATTATTATATTTTTTATTATTATATATATTTATTATTATAATATTTATTATATATATTTATTATTATGTGTAATATTTAATATTACATATTGTATTTTTATATTNGCTTAATTGAATATATATTCTTAATGAGATCAGTTTCTAGAATGTTCCATTCTGCAGTATTTATTATTATGTATATTTATTATTATAATATTTATTATATATATTTATTATTATTATAATATTTATTATATATATTTATTATTATGTGTAATATTTAATATTACATATTGTATTTTTATATTATAATATGTTTATGTATATTTGTATATTTAATTATTGAAGTACTAATGCCTGGGGCGATTCGTGTCACAGTTAATTTTTGGAATGTGGATGGAGAGGGGCGGGGCTTGCGATCGGGACGGGTATAAATATGGGTAAATTTTGGGTGGGTTTTATTTTTTGTTACTTATTATTTATTATTATTATGTGTGATGTTTTTTATTATAATAATTATTGTTATTATGTATGGTATTATTTATTATAATTATTATTTTTATTGTATAATAATTACTATTATTACTTTTATTACTATTTTTATTATATTTATTATTTTATTAATATTACTATTTCAGGTCTGTAGCAGCTGAAAATTATTTTCAAAATGCGCTCATTGGTGGCTCTCGTGTACATGGCTTCGGTTATTTTGAGTGTTTTCACTGAGGAGGTTCGTTTTATTTATTATTATTATTGTTTATTTTTGATAGTAATTATTTTTATTATTATATATTTATTATTATATATTATTTATTATTATTAATATTTAAACTGCAGATTGAAAATGATAAATCGTCACCGAACAAGAGATATTATTCATCGTTCGCGAAACGTTATTATGGGCCGTCGAGATTTGCATTCGCCAAGAGATTTGATTCCGATATTGAGGATAATAATGTGGGCGTTGTTATTTTTTATTTTATTTTTATTATTATTTATTATTATATATTGTATTTTTTATTATTTTTTATAGTTATCGTATTTTTATTATGTGTTATTTATTATATATGTATCATATTGTTTATTATATAATGTTATTTATTATATATAATATATTATTAATATATTTATTATTGTATTTTTATGATGAGATTTATCCGGTTCCAGTGCAAGATTTGCGGGGGAGGGGCGTACGCACACAAGCACGCAAACTCCGCCCACCGTGACACGCAGCTGCATGCGCGCGCGTGCGTTCGCCATTGATATTGTGTATAATAATAATAATTATAAAAAATAATATATATTATAGTGCTGAGAGTGATATGTATAATAATAATATATATGATAATAAATAATAATGAAAATTTTAGGAACTGGAGAAAAGAGCGATGAGATTTGCGTTCGCGAAGCGATTTGCATTCTTGGGACATGCGCCTCTTTCGTATAATGCATTTGCATAATTATTGTTTATTATAATTATTATTTATTATATTTATTACATTAAATATTTATTATTATTATTTAATACATCAATTAAAATGTTAATGTGATGACGTTAGTGGATGTGACGCAATGGAAAATGAATGCTGAATAAATATTTGTTGAAATTTGTTTCTATTATTTTTAATAGTAATAATAAATAATGGTTGTTATACATACCATTTATTATATTTATTATTGTTATTTTTTATTATTTTTACATTTATTATTGATGTATTTATTATAGTAATAAATATATTATAATTAATAATAGTGATTAGGCTGGTAGGTTTGCATTTGATAATAATAATAATAATAATAATA